CTCAATCTGCCTTTGTTAAGGGGAGACTTCTCTCAGAAAATGTTCTCCTCGCCACTGAGCTTGTGCAAGGATTTGGCCAGAAGAATATTTCTAGAAGAGGAGTTTTAAAAGTGGATCTTCGGAAAGCTTTTGACTCGGTTAGCTGGGATTTTATCTTGCAAGTTTTGTTGGCAGCAAACATCCCTCAGACCTATGTGAATTGGATCAAGCAATGCCTCACAACCACAAGCTTCTCCATTAACATAAATGGTAGTCTTTGTGGTTTTTTCAGAGGAGCAAATGGACTGAGACAAGGAGATCCCTTATCTCCTTCTCTTTTTGTGATAGCCTTGGAAATTTTCACCCGTTTGCTAGAAAAAAAATTTGATGATGGCTCCATTGGTTACCACCCAAAGGCAAAGGACTTGAAGATCTCAAGCTTAGCATTTGCTGACGACTTGATGATTTTTTATGATGGGAAGATCTCTTCTTTACACGGTATTACCTCTGTTCTCAATGATTTTCAAGCTTTATCTGGTCTTGCTATGAATAGAGAGAAATCAGGAATATACACAGCGGGTTTGAGCCCTCAAGAATCTATAGGAACTATGTCTTTTGGCTTTCTCAATGGTTCATTCCCCTTCAGATACTTGGGTCTTCCTTTGCTCCATCGTAAGCTTCGTCGGACAGATTACTCTCCGCTCATTGATCAAATCTCTGCTCGGTTTAACCACTGGACAACAAAGACTCTCTCCTTTGCGGGAAGACTGCAGTTAATCTCATCTGTTATCTACAGTTCAGTGAACTTTTGGATGTCTACATTTATTCTTCCTAAATGTTGTCTATCCACCATTGAAAGTCTTTGCAATCGATTTCTCTGGTCTGCTGACATCACTAAAAAGGGTGGAATCAAGGTTTCATGGCAGCAAGCTTGTCTCCCTAAATCTGAAGGAGGACTCGGTTTGCGGAACTTCCGAATATGGAATAAGACTCTGAATTTACGTTTGATTTGGCTTCTATTCACAAATACATCCTCTCTTTGGGTTGCTTGGACTCGTTATCACCGTCTTAGAAATGCTAACTTCTGGAATGCTAAGCCATCTGATCAACATTCTTGGATTTGGAAGGCCTTGTTAGACTTACGACCGCTAGCAAAAAGGTTTCTGCGATGTAAGGTAGCTAACGGCAAAACAGCCAGTTACTGGTACGATCACTGGAACAATCTAGGTCCCTTAATCGAGCACGTCGGTTCATCAGGTCCGCAGTTAATGGGAATCCCAGATTCTGCCTTGGTTGAAGACGCCATTGGCCATTCAGGTTGGCTTCTCCCCTCAGCTCATACCAGAAACTCTACTCTTGTTAGTCTTCGTGATGTGCTTTTGGAAACTCAAATTCCTGCAGTTTCTCTAGGCCCTGACACTTACCACTGGTCTATCAATGGCTCTTCTTCAACAGTTTTTCTTTCAAAGCAAACATGGGAAGAGCTCCGTCCAGTTAGTATTGTTAAATCTTGGGCTAAGGTTGTCTGGTACAAAGGCCATATTCCTAAGTTTGCTTTCACATTTTGGGTCACCCATTTGGATAGACTCCCTGTCAGATCACGTTTAGCTGCGTGGGGAATTAACACTCCGACTACATGTTGCACTTGTAACAGAGAGATCGAGACTAGAGATCATTTATTCCTTCACTGTGATTATAGTTCTCAAATCTGGAGCATTGTTTTGTCAAGGCTAGGACAACCTCGTCTAAATTTTACGGATTGGTCTGACCTCATTGTGTGGTTATCGTCCTCCTCCGGCTCACAAAGCTTAACCCTCAAACGGCTCACGGTTCAAGTCACTATCTTCTCCATCTGGAAAGAGAGAAACAATAGGCTTCATAACATGGTTTCAACTTCTCACTTGGTAATCTTCAATCAGATTGATCGTAGCATCCGGGACTCCATTCTTGCTAGGATCAACCGGAGAAAATTTCGGAATCTGCTCTCCCGTTGGTTTACTTATGAGTAGTTGTTCCTCAAATTAGGACTTATGCTCCTTCACCTGTTTTCTTTTAGGCTTTTTTATTCTTTTTTTGGGCCTTTTAGCAACTTTTTAAGCTCCGCCGAGCTGTTGTAAAAAAAACCGTTCCTTTTGGTAATTAAATTTTACATTTTATCAAAAAAAAAAATATATATAATTTATTGCACTGTGTATAATAATACACTAATGATATTCAATAAATGGACATGCATAGCAAGAAAGATGGTAGCATGATACAACTATACAAGGGACAATATAATGATGCGAGAAAACTTCTACAAGTTTCCGGGAAATTAATTGGAAATTTTTGTGTAAATCACTAGACATACCTGTAGATTAAAACCAGAGAGATTGAAGGAAAACAGAGAAGCTTCAAGATTCTCACATAAGACTAGATTGATCTCACATAGTATAAAGCGAGAGGCATAATCTAGTGCGACGCACTTTGCATTGATCACTTTTTTTTTCCCTGACAACGGTGAAGATTGAAGATTCGATGATCAACGGTTTGTTTGCGAGTTCATGTGCTTTGTTTGACAAGTGTATTAACACACGTCAGCGCCGATGAGAGCCACGTATGTGGAAGTATATATGAGTTTGATTCAGCATTGAATTTTTTTTTTTTTTCAAACTTATAACCGGTATAGAGTATTAAAAAGGGTCTTTTGCAAGAATAACACTTTTTTACTAAAATATTAAGAATATAGCACATTATATGTATCAATTAAGTAAATAACATCAAGGGTATGGAAAATGACCAATGGTGGTGGTGGTAATTTCGGCTATGGTGGCTCCGGCGCGATTCCGGCGGTGGAGATCCGGCGACAAAGTTCCGGTGGCGGTGGTTCCGGCGACGGAGGTCCGGCGGTGGTGGTTCCGGCGACGGAGCTCCGGTGGTGGTGGTTCCGGCGACGGAGGTCCGGCGGTGGTGGTTCCGGCGACGGAGGTCCGGCGGTGGTGGTTCCGGCGACGGAGGTCCGGCGGTGGTTCTGGGCTAGGGTGGTGGTGATGAGTAGTGATGGTGGTGAGGAGTGAGGACATAATTGTATTATTATACATTATACACCCAATATCATTGTATTTTTTTGTATAGGTTAGTTTCTTAATTTATATTTTTTTGTTGGTTATACATCCAAATTTTCCTATTAAAAACCAAAAAAAAAATTAAAACATTTTATAACATTAATAAATAAAAAAAAACTCTAAAAATCGTGGAAGAAGGTCGGTGTCGTTTTATTTGACTCTTTGGGAAGAAAAAATAGATAGTTGGAAATTAGAAACAAAACATAGTACTTTTTGTCTAGGGTTTGTCTACGCCATGAGAAAACGGCAGAAGCACGTCTCCGAGGAGGAGAACCACCAAACTCGATCTTCTTCGACATTACTTACTAATATAGAGCTGATGCCAGTTGATCTCTTTGATGATATATTCTCGAGATTATCGGCGAAAACCATAGCGAGGTGTCGTTGCGTGTCAAAGCTCTGGTCTTCCATTCTCAACCGTCCAGTTTTCACTGAATTGTTCTTGAAAAAGTATTCGGGTTGTCTCCATCTCTTGTTTACATTCAAACTCAACGGTAAGTGGCACTTTTTCTCGTCCCCTCAGCCTCAAAATCCAGACAAGAACTTGTCTCTTTTAGCCACCAATCATCACATGTGTTTCCCTACTAGAACAGGTTCATGTCGGGTCAATAGCCCTGTTCGTGGCTTGCTATGTACTGAATATACATGGCTCAAAGATAGATATAATGATTTAAAGGCGATGGTTTATAACCCTAGCACAGGACAGACCATAACATTACCCCAAGTGAGAACAAGGAGGGCTAATGCGATAGCCCGTTTAGGGTATGATCCAATCAACAAACAAGTCAAGGTATTGTGCATGTCACTTTGTAGTAAGATTCGGAAAGCGGAGGCCTGTCAAGTTCTGACATTAGGAACGGGAAAACTGTCGTGGAGAAAGATTGAATGGTCCTTACCTTATTACCCATTAAATGCCGGGATTTGTATCAACGGAGTCTTGTTCTATATAGCGGATCCAAATAACAACTGTCCAAAACCTAGGTTTCGAAAACCTTATACCATAGTTTGCTTCGATTTTATATCTGAGAAGTTCACATATATTGACCATGCTCTGGACAACAATATAGGCTGGTGCAGAACTATGTTAAATTACACTAATAAGTTAGGTGTAATGCGTGGTGATGATAATGGCTTTTTCAGCGGAACAACAACAAGTCTTGAGTTGTGGGTTCTAGATGATGTTGAGAAACATAAATGGTTGAAGAAAATCTATGTATTGCCGCCGATGTGGAAGAATCTAGTTGCGGATACAAAGTTGTGCGTTGTCGGAATGACTAGTAATGGTGAATTTGTGTTTTCTACATACGTTTTATCTGATCCTTTATATATTTTCTACTACAATGTGGAGAAGAATACTATCGTAAGAGTTACAATCGAAGGAATTGGACCCGTTAGTGGTCAAAACATTTACACTTTTATAGACCACATAGAAGATGTGAAGCGTATGTGAGTGTGCTTAGGATTTATTTCGGTTAATAAGACCAATATTCGTGGGTTTTCTTTATATTTCATTTTAACTCTGTACTAGAATTAAATATATTTCTACATGGATTTCATCCATAGGAAATCTTTTCTACACAAAAGTAATTTGGTTTGCTGATTACGTCATAAACTTAGAATTTCTGCAATTCCTATTTTCCCTCATCCTTAATCTAATATATTTGCTAAAACTTGAGGACTAATTAAGATACATGTACATCTCAATGATATGGTGGGGCAACATGCTTTAGAAGAAATGTGTTCTCTACCTCCTTATAATTTTGGATCGTTAGGCTCACAGTGGCCTCAAGATATGAGGAATCTGAGATGCCTAGCTAATTATCTTATTGGGCCCATTCCACCCAAATTGAAACAATGTCTTATCCCACATCGCTTACCTTAGCATTCAAACGAGTGTTTATATATCGCTAGAGTCGAGTTACAGATTGTCACCTTTGCTAAAACTGGAATGTTACAGAGAAGATTAGCATGGCCCCTGTGCAAGGATGACACGCTTTAATCGAGATATGGTCCAAATTTTTTTAGTTTTCGTTTCTTGATCGTTTTTTTTTCTTCTGGTTTTCTTGTTTTGTAGTTCGACTACGGGCAAGAATATAGTGTCAAACTCGTTGGTGTACTTGAAATTTAAAAAACCCTAATTTCGTAGTTTTACGTTGCTCCATAATATGATTTTATGTTGACGAAATCGTAAGAACAATGAAGACACAGTCCATAAGATTGATTACCCAAAGTGAAAACAAGGAGGGTTCATGTGAAAACCTATTTAGGGTATGATCCAATCAACAAATAATCCAAGGTATTGTGCATGTCAGTTTGTAGAAAGCTTTGGAAAGCTGAGGAGCATCAAGTTCACATTTATTGACCAAGCTCTGGACAACAATGTAAATTGGTGCCCAACTCTAATAAATTTTTATAGTAAATTAGGTGTAGTTCGTCAAGATGATAATGGTTTTTTCAGCTGGATAACTACAAATCTAGAGTTGTGGGTTTTAGATGATGTTGAGAAACATAAATGGTTGAGGAAAATCTAAGTATTGCCGCCTTTGTTGAAGAATATTGTTGCAAATCCAAGGTTGAACATTGTTGGGATGACTGGTAATGGTGAATTTGTGTTTTCTCATACCGTTCTATCTAAATCTTTTCAACATTTTCTACTACAATGTGGAGAATAATACTATCCTAAGAGTTAGGATTCAAGGAATTGGACCCGTTAGTGGTCAAAACATTAACACTTTTATAGACCACATTGAAGATAAAAGAGGTGTGACTGCTTAGAATTTCATAAAAATCTTGCAAACATTGCTATATATATAGTTCAGTTCAGCTTCTTGTTTCCCTTGCTCACTTGCTTCAAAACTTAAATGTTATTTCCAATGCTTCTTGTCACTACAAGAAAACAGGCGATTACCGACTACGCTCGGCGACTAATTGTGCAGTCGCTAATTTATACGACTAAACGACGACTACTCTGCGACTAATGTTACGACTACAAGTATATAGTCGTATAATAGTCGCTAATTAACGACTACATACTGTAGTCATTCAAATAGTCGTAATATAGCGACTATTATACGACTAACATATAAGACCCCGACTATAGTCGTATCGTAGTCGCTAAATAGGCGACTATTTTGAATGACTATTGAACATAGTCGCTAAATAGGCGACTACTTTATGACTACATTGCATACGGAAAAAAATAGTCACAAAAAGTCGCTAATTTGGTGACTAATATGTGACTATGTTTTTATTTTAAAAGTGTTTGATTTGATTCTTTTAATTATATATTATATATATATATTATTTTATTTTCAAAACTGGAATCATACACTTAAAAAATATATAAAATTTCAGATTTATAAATCTAAATTCTTTGAAATCTATATCAAATCTAATAATTTAGTATTAAAACTAAATTTATGAACTGTTGTATTAAAATTAAATTCCAAATCGGTTGCATTTCAACCCATAGTTTATTAAATTAATTTTGGAAGACTTCGTACCCCGAAGAGTTCGCCCTAAAAACTTCTCTCCCAGACACGAAAACCAAGGCAGCCGCAAGCCTTCACGGGATGAGTTTTTTCCACCAGCGTTGCTCCTCCGGCAGCCTTCCCTTCTAATCGGTGGTACTTCTAAGGTGAGATCTCTCCGGTGAACCTCCTTTTCCGGTGACGTATCTGTTTTCCGGCGAGTTTTTCACATGAGATGACTTCCTTTTGTCTGTTGAGTTCGAGCCACTCTCGTCGCTTACCGTTTTCTTCGGTCGCCTTCCTCGTTCTGAGGCCCCCTCCTGCACCACCACCGGAGCCTCCTTCTCCGCCGACTCCACCGGAGCCACCGGATCCGCCAGACCCTCAAATCTGCCTCACCCTCACCTTTACTGAATCTATTGCTCAGCCTTTGAGTCCTCTTCCGTCACAGCGTAGCTCCTCCTCCATCCAGCAAAGCTTTCCACTGCTTCCCGATGACTCTCCCTTTGCGATCTGGTTTGGAGAGTTTGGTTCTCTTCCCTGTCCGACCTCTTCAACCACTGCTCCGGTCAGTGATGTCCACTACCTTGCCGAAGCCATCACTTTAACTCCTCAGAATTTCCCCCAGGTATGCTCTTGCTGTTCGCCCTCTAATTCTTCTAAGATGGGAAGGATATGGATGTTGGTAGAGCTTGTGGCTTTGGTCTTATGGAATCTGGTTTTGAGTAAGTTGGTATTGTGGAATTCAAATGTAACTCATTCGATTTCCATAGGCTTAGATACTTTTGTATCTACATTTGTGCTCTCGTGTAGCACCCTTACACTTATCGCTTCGATGCGATCATTTACCGCAGTATGCGGATTCTATATCTATTTGGCTATGTTTACAGTTGTTTTGTTGCAGCTTGGACAAAGTTCTTTGAGTATAGACAACCAGCCAGGTTTCCTGGTTCCTTGGGGCTTTCATAGCCTTCATCTCTCCTTTATGGAGCTTATTTTCCTTCCAAATACTTCACTTGTGTTTAGTGGTATTGTTATTGGAAGCATGATGTTCAAGACTGTTCTGCTTGAAGTAGAAGCGAGGATTGTTGTTCAAGACTATTTTCGTTCAGCTTTTGCTGACTGTTTGACGGTAGTGTCGCTGGAGGCTTTGTTTCCTCCTCCTTGTGGTGTCGACAAGGACTTCCAAGCTAAAAGTGGCTGCTTTATTGGATGCTCTTGGGCTGATGCTTCTCTGGTAGAACTTGCTAGTTCACCCTTATCCCAAAGTCTCATTTTGAGCATTGTTGTTTATGTTAGCTCTTGCTTTTGCTCGACCACTTTGTTAGTCGATGTTTTGGTTTATTCGGTTCTTTGTAGCCATGATGTATCCTCTCTTAGTAGAGGTTAAACTCTTATCCTTTTTATGATATGCTAAGTTTGTCCAAAAAAAAATTTTGGAAGACTTCAAATCTGGATTTAAAATTAGGGGAAATTGAAATTTGAGGCTTATTGGGGGGGGGGGGGGGGGGGGAATGAAATTTGAGTCGGGGAGAAATGAAATTTGGGCCTAAAATTCTTCAAAGCCTTTACTCTTTTATTTTTGTGACCAAGTCTTTCTCGGTTTTTCCCTTATCTCCTCTAACCTAATACCCTCGCATCCATAGCTCGTCAGCTCGCCTCCACCACAAATGAACGCCGTTTTGCCTCTCCGGAGTCCGGTGCCTTCGCCGGTGACGTGAGAGGGATCCTCCAATTTGTGGAGTTCGCGGCGAGAGGATCCACACGGTACAGCTGGAGAGGGATTCAATGGCTAATTGGGAAGTTGATTTGTCGGAGAATCTAGAAGAATACCTTCAAAATTATTACCGGAGAACTCACTGGAAATGAAGAAGATGGGCAGATTCCTGTGAATTCGCTGAAGGTTTGTGGTATTTTGCTTCTATTTTCAGAAATTTGTTTCTCGTTTGATTTCAACTTATTCCATTTTTTAGGGTAATTGAGAATTGGGTTTCAAATTTTGTGTTGCTCTAAATCTGTAGCTGTTTTACTGCTTCAGGGCTCGGTTCAAGTTTACTCCCAAGAAAGTTGAGTACTTGTATAATTTGGTTCTACGTACGTTGGAGTTTCTATCAAAGCAAATGTTTGTCCTTTTGAACTCCTTGTGTTTTTTCGCTTAGTGAATATCTAAGCTAATTGAACTAGATAAAACATAATTACTTGTTTGTGAATATCCTAGCATCTCAGTTTTAGGGGCTAACTTCGATTCATATTTCTCTATGTGTATGGGTTTTGTTTCGTGTTCACAGATGAAGTGAATGTATACCAATTGTTGCCACTGTTTATATCAGAGGAGTGATGTCATTTTTGTCCAGCGCAGCCTAAGAGATGTTTTAGAAAAGTCCCAACACTTTGAGTTTAAGGTACAAGTTCACTTGCTCTCATATTTTGAACGTACATAGACTTTGGACAAAGTAAATTTGTTTATTGTCTTTGCTTCTTGTTATTGCTATACTACTATGGATGCCTGATTATTTTATACAGAGTCAAATGAGCTTCATGACCGAGTTGCTACCCCATGGATGAATGATTGTGCTTTTTGATAATAAACTATAGATTTTTAGTTCTGCTTTAACATCATCAAAGTCTATTTTTTGTGTTTAATATGAATGTAAGTATCATTAATCAACGGGTCATTAAGTTGCCAAAATGACGATTGTGTCTTAAGAACTGTTTGACTAATCTCGCCAAGTTCTTTGCATTTTAAATTTCAGCTCGTATTGATATAGTCTTTGATGCTTCCGTCTTATGTGTGTTTGTATTCTAGAGTTGGATAGTTAGACCTAGTTGGCGTGCTCTCTTAAGATGTTATGTCCTTGCCTTCTCATGGTGCGTTTCTTTTTCCAGGGACATGATCTTGACCAGACCTATGATACCATATCATCATTTTCTTCCGGTAGAAATAACCATGAGACAGTTTTTGGAGCAGAAAAAGCATGAAAGAGTAAGACAAGGAAGAAGAATTGAAATCAAAAGAGTTAATTAAGCCAAGTTCTTTCTTAAAGATTGTTATCTGCTTTGTGTTAATTATGTTTTTAGGAGGATGATGTAATTTTATTTTTAATAATGTTTTTAGTTTTATTTGTAATATGGTTTTCTTTTAAATGTATAATTTTTATTACTAATATCAGTACCTTCCAAAAACATATTATAAAATAATTAGTAAAAATATAAATATTATTACTGAAATAAATACCTAAATACTGTATAAATACCTAAATACTGTATAAATACATAAATACTGTATAAATAAATACAATACTGGATTTAAGGATTTAGTGACTAATTGACGACTATAAACATAGCTCAAAGATGGATTTAAGGATTTAAAGGCGATAGTTTATAACCCTAGCACAGGACAGTCCTTAACATTACCCAAAGTGATAACAAGGAGAGCTGAAGCGAGAACCTATTTAGGGTATGATCCAATCAACAAACAAGTCAAGGTATTGTGCATGTCACTTTGTACAATGCTTAAGAAATCCGAGGAGCATCAAGTTCTGACATTAGGA